ACTAAGAAAATCCTAGTGTCTTAGTGCATTTCACCTGCCTTACAGAAGGGAGTAAGCCTCATCCTTGGGAGATGAGCTTCCTTCACATCGAGGACCTGAGCAACAGAGGGCCAAAGCTGACCTATCCTTCAACTATCTTCTCTAAATGCTGGATAACCCTATTGGCTCAGTGACTTTAATATCAATTTAGGTAACTGCACTTTTTAAGACAAGCCTAATGATGGAAGCCTATGCAGAGTTTTCTGCTCATGCCAGAACTAAATCTAGGTCAGTCAGCATGCCTCATTTTTGTTGGTCACAGGGGAACTGGCGGCTCTGGCTGTGGCTTTTGCAAATTAATCATTTCTGGGTGGCATTTCAAAAAGCGAGAGCCTGCTAGAGCCCAGCTTTGCAATTTCAGCAGCTGCCAACAATACCACACCAGAAACAAAACACCCAGTGGCTGCAGGAAAGAATGTGGATTCTCCCTCCCCTTTTCCCACAGGCCATTTGCTCTAATTTGTCATTGAAGATGCAGACTTGCTGCTAGGAGCAGCAAGAAGAAACGAGCACTGGGGAAATGCAGCACAGCGTAGCCAAGAAACGCAGGCACCGCTGACAGGCATTTATATTATCTAAAGCCCTCAAGTCAAATCTAAACTCAGCAGTGAGTACTTCAGGTGGCTGCTGGCACACATTTGGTGAGAGTGGCTGCCCTACTCCTTTCTAAATCCCCAAAATGGCATAACTACCATGAGGGAACTAAGTCCCCACGGAGCTACATTTGAAGAATATGAACAAAATTTGCAGGTAATACTTTGGTTATAACCTTTGAGTTTCCAAACAGAACGCACAGCTGTGAACCTTTATATGGTATCCTTTCTATTTAATACGCTTACTCTAGGGGCATAATATATATGGGCATTTTAAGGATATAAGAAAATATGCTCCCTCAAAGCCAAGCAGCTACTTGTTTTTATCAGAAAAAGCCATTCACGCTGGCATTCAGTTGGCAGCCCATTTGTCCAGCTCTCCTTAACAGACCAATTTCTCGGTCCAAACACGTCAGCCACTTCCTCTGCTGCGCTGTATACAGAGAAAGGCCTGTGCCAGCTCCGTAAGGCCACTTGTAGCCTGTAATTCACACCAGGGGACAAAGCCTGCTCTTCCCTATTTTTCCTGGCATGGGAAGCGCAAAGCTTGACGAAGCGCAGAAATCCCATTCACGTGGGGCACGACCTTCACAGCGAAAGGGCAGCGCGCCGGCACGGATTGTTCCTTGGGGCTTTTTCCCTTCTCCAAGGGCTTTACTCTCCAAGCGGCAAATCCCTTTGCTCCCGCTCCAACAACCCAACGGCCTTCACAGGGATTACTTGGGCCGCATAAAGAAGCTCTCTTGGGTTGTGGCAAAAGCTCTTGGCACTAAATCCCCAGTGCCTAAGTGAACACTGAGTCATGCCAACAGCAACACCCCTTTGGTCCTGACGGGACTGCAGGCACCGCAAGTCGTTGTGCAGAGACTGCTGGTTTGCTTTGTTGAAGCAGCCACTGCGGCGATTAGGGACTTGGCAGCTACTAGGACAGTAATCCCCAGCTTCAAACTGTGCTCCCATCTCTGTTAGTACTGACAGCATCAGAAAAAAAAATTATCTGTGTTATTGTCACTTCTGAACTTGTCAGGTGGGGGCTGCGCATTGGAATTGCTGTCACAGAAAGGAGGCAAGGAAGGAAATAGCTTAAAAGCAAATCAGGTTCAGTACGAGGCCGCATCAGACCCCAGACCAACAGTGGTGCATAAGTACTGCACAGAAACTGATAATCCAAAAGGCCAAATAATAATTAGCAACAGCAATACTGCAATCTGAGAGAGTGCTTACCTCTGAGTAACACGACTTCATGCTGCAGGCTTGTCATGCTATTGGAGGCGATTTTACTATTGCTTGCAACTCACTTGGTGCTGCCATCTGTAGAAAAAAAAAAGATATTCAACAAGACTATCCTATATTCCCCAGATAAACGGGGGTTAAAGGTTTATCTTTCCTTTAGGCAACTGCAGGCTGTTTATTAACAAAAAAAATCTTACAAAAAAGTTATGCCCCTGCATTTCTGGCAAGATGGTCTTATATCAGCAGGATAACAAAACTTGCCTTGATCTAGAGGAACTGACCATGCACTGCACAGTTGGGAATTTCACACAGAGTCACTGATGGTTTTTAGCCTGTATTTCTCTGTAAGAACATCTTCAACAACTATCCCCAAATGCCAGCAATGAATCATGTTGTACACCCTGCTGTATATGGGGACCAAATAGAGTAACTGCAGCAAAGATGGTTTATGTACAGGATATACCTCACTAAAGAAGATATGTTCTGTATCAGCTAAGAGAAAAGAGACAAGCTACTGTAAGGAATAACATTTTAAAATCTCAGGTTGTGCACTAGATGCCTTTGAAAATGGTTGACCTAACTGCCTGAAACCACTGCCAATTTCTCCACACGCCGGGCAGTTCTTCCAGCAAAAATCTGAGAGGCCACAAGATGCAACACAGCATGGAAATTTTATGGAACTTCAGACTGACAAGTCACAGTGACCACCAGATTCCCTGCATGAATTATTTTCAAACCAATAGACCCAAATCCTAATTCTGTTTCTTTGATACTGTTTGCAGAAAGGAAACTGCCAAACCCCATCACTGTACCATTAATTATTATCCTGAAGAACTAAGAAGCATGAGGACTACAGTTCTCTTCGTTTGTCTTGTAGGATCCACTTTTGCCATTCCAGTAAGTCCTCAAGGTTTTATTATTACTATGCATTTGAACATCCACATACTGGGAATACTTTAATGTTAACTCCCTTAGTTGTACAAGATTTTTTTTTTTGATATGGAGATTTTTAATTCAATTGTCTATTCTAGACCTATCCCTTAATCTACAAGCTTGGAATCCATGGACAAAAAACTGCAGAAAAGGTACCTGTGTTGTTCTTTTCATGTTACAAGACAAATGATAATCATGATTACAAACATAAAAAACATTCTAGCACAGATGCATTGGCTTGAAAATCAAGTTAGGTTAAAAAAATAATATAAAAAGTGCCTCTCTCTCATGGGAATTACCAAGGGTCTCATACCTCACACAGCACAGCCAGCAGAAAACCAGCACAGAATGTAAACTCTACAACAGAAAACTCTATTTATTTCAAGAAATTCCCCTAAATGAATTCCCAAATTCATTTTTCAGAGGCCAGTTGTCCCCAGCAGTAAGGGTAACCAATGGCATTTACGTTGACTGAGTCCTGAAACGTTTCTGCCATCTTGGGGATAAAGGTATATCAAAAAACAGAGGCTAGGAACCACATTCCAGCACACCTAATAGGAAAGTGCAGTGCACAGTGAATGTTCATATCCAGACAGAAGCCAAAGCATCTTTCTAAAATGAATAAAAAACGTAATGCTCCATCATCAGAGGCAACCAGAACACATCATATTAAGGAACATTCAGCCTTGTATTTTACAACACCACTGAACTAAAAGCCCCTCACAAATCTTGTTTTCAATACACTATATCTTTTTTGTTGTTTGTTTGTTTTAGGCAGCAGGGCACAAAATCACAGAAAAAAATAAAACAAAATGATTTTTAATTCACCTTGAAATTTGGAGTATGGATATTTCACTTTTTACTATCTTCGAAAAAGTCACATCCCATCTGGTAAAAACATTTAACTGAAATTCTCTTAGATGAACATATTCTTTTAACGAAAAGTCCATTAAAGAGTTAGGGCTGTTTGTTACTTAGGGACTTGCTTAGTAACATTACTACTTCAGGAAGTACTCTATGTAGAAGACAAGCATTCATTAAAAAAAACATAAATACCACCTTGACAATAAGGAATTGTGTAAGTTGAGCTGCAAAAGAGCCACATAGACCCTACAGTGCTTAGGCTTTGTTTCAGAGGAGTCTGACCCTGCTCACACTAGAGACAGTGCTTTCCTAGCAGTTTAGGCATTTACAAAAACTTCCATCTTCATGAATAATCCTCCTGAAAATTTTAAGGAGAAATAGTGTCAGGCACTATTTTTAATATGTAAGAAGCAATACGGATAGTCCAGAGGTTTAGTACAGAAAAATATCAGATGTTCCTACTGCTGTAAAGAAGACCCAAAGGCCTGTACTCACCCAGCAGCCACGCTGACTCGGGTCTAATAGCAACAAAAAGGCAATCCCTACTACAAGGTGTAATGTTCATTTTAGAATTTCCTTCCTGCTCAAGGGTTTAAGCCTTTTCCACTTAAGATAGTAGCCTGCAAAAAAGTACTATGCAAAAAAGCCACACAACAAACACCTGTGACTCGTGCTAATGAGCTTACAATACAGTAGTGATGCTGCCACCACTTACTGCTTAATCCCTTTTGGAATAATCATGCACCCTTCCCTGCACGTCTCAAGAACTATTGCCCTGACATTGCCCTATCAAGGCAGCTCCTTCTCTCTCCTGTTTTCACAGGCCCTCTTATTTACCTGTGTAGGGAGATAATTATCTCATTTCCTAAGATAAGAGGTAATAAATGCAGCCTAAGGAGGATGTCTGAAGTTAAGGCTCTAGATTACTAATCAAGAAATTGGACAGAAACTTCACAAGACCCCCATACGCATCATCCTTCTACCAGATCTTAAAAAAAAATTGCGTGGACTTTTTTCCAGAAACATCAAGTGTCCAAAACAAACAAACAGGACTAACGAACATAACTGCTGAGAACTCAAAATGATATTGACTGTGAATTTCAAGGAAGTACTTAGGATGAAAAAGCATAAAGAGTGGTGTCATACTGTGCTTTTTTTCAATATAAAGCCAACTTACATTACATTGGCTTGGGATTGATTAGAATAAATTCTATTATCTTTTTAAATCCTCGTTTTCTTTGTTTTGGAAGGCTCAAGACATTCAATCTGACATTTCAGCAGAAGAGAACCCAGAGTATGTAAACAACGGTGATTTGCTGTCAAGTCTCAGAAACAAAAATGAAGAGGTGCCACTAACAGATACTGAGCCCAGGCCTGCTCAAACATGGAGAAACAGCAGCAGGGAGCAGGAAGCCAAAAATAGCCCCAAGAATATTAACTTCCTTTCGCTGCACATTAAACCAGGTTTGGCCCCTGGCAAGCAGGATGGTGACTCTGGAAGCAGCATCGGAGAACAGTTCAGCTCTGAATATCACCAGCTCAGGAGACGTGAGAAACACAACAACGACCGAGTTAAGGTTGATGAAGAAAGTCCAGGGGATGCTCGCAGTGAGCAAAACACCTGGGCGTACAACAAAAATACAGTTGACCTATCTGAAAACAAGAGTGATGGTGATGAAGAGAACGTGGAGGAGGAGGAGGAAGAGGAATGGGGTGAAGAAACTGTCTACAGAGATACGAAGCACAAAACCCAATTGACAAATCATAACAGTCAATACAAAAGAGAGCAAAATGAAGAGAGTGAACAACCTCATGAAATCACAAGAGATTCCAGTCAGCCACTCCAGATAACCAAGAGGCATGGTGAGAAATTTGATGGAGAGGAGAATGAGAGGGATGAGACCCAAAAAAAGCCCCATGAAGCAGAAAAAATCCCTCTTTCTCAAAAAAGCAGTAACAAACATCAGGATGACAAACAGCAAAGCCAACAAGGCAAAACCAGTTCTCATGTAAACAAACACAGCGGTCACGAAACAGTGCTGAAAAGACAGTATAAGGAGGATAGCAATGTTGATGATGATGACCACGATAGTGGTGATGTTGATGGTGAGGAAGATCTCAGCAATGTCTGGAAAGAAAACTATGATGAAGGTGAAAGAATCCAGAGTAACAATCCTGGAAGCATCAGCATGGAGTCAGAAGGGGAAGGAAACAGTGAAGATGACAGCGCACATAGAGACAATGGTGATTATCAAGATGCCACAGTTAAAGACTTTGCTCATGTTGAGGAAGATGACCATCATGAGCCACATAATTCTGAGAGCAAGGAACAAAAGGAAACAGGCAATTCTGCTCAGAATGCGAATTTAGTGGAACCTGAAGATAAGGTAATGACCTTAAAAAAAAATCGTAAATTGTCCTAAAGTTCCTGATGGTTGAAAGAATATTTTGGAAAGAGAACAGGTCCAAAACTATCTTAAAATTTTGGAGAAGTCTCATCTCCTTTTACTCACTATTCATCCAGTTCACACTGTGTCACTTCATATAAAAGATTTAGATGAACTGGACCAGAGACTGAGCATAACTCCTGTAATGTCTCCAGGCCAATGTACAGCATAATGAAACATACACATAAATACATACACATGCATATGAAATGTCTACACATATGAAACAACTGCAACCCAGTCTCATACTGACTAGAAAGGCCAGTTCACATTCCTTTCCCAAAGGATTTTAAACCCTTTCATCCAAAATTGAACAGCTTCAAAAGGAAGGGTTAGAGTTCCCAGAATCATTAGCAGCCTGGTGCTTAGGACACCCTTCCACAAGATGAAGGACCTGGGCCTCCTCTTTCAGATAATGAGGACCTTGCACCCAGATCTCCCTTATCTGGTCAGATACTAGATAAACAGGCCAAGTGCTTTGTTTTGAAAAAGGGAGTGATGTTTCCTAAAATTACTCAAGAAAAATCTTACGCTTTAGAAGGGGATTGGAGTTGTTTTATCTGCAGCAGGATAGGGAACTCCCCCTAGCACAAAAGGAGCGCTATACTACATGGTTGCATATCAGACTTACCACAATTTCTGCTTTTATCTCTCTGACTTGAAGGTTAAAACTACAAGCAGCTCACACAGTGAGGGGGAAAGTGCAAGCAACAGCAGTGGGAAGGCTTTGCTGGGTGAGTAAACTGCACACGGAGCCCTTGCGTAACGGCTAACTCGCTGCAGCGGGGGAATCTGCTGGTCTGCATTTCTTTTTT